GGCGTTTCACAATATATCGGAAATATTAATTGTATAGTTCATAGTAACATGTATTTTGCATATGAAATGATAACACAGATATAGCATGAGATCATTTGTATACATACAGGCGCTGTTTGATAGTGTCATTACGTCAACATCCAAGGCCTGGTAGTTGTCGGAGTCGACTATATTTAAACTCAACCGAGTCTTATACGATTGAAATCATTACAGAGTTTTAGTATTGAAAAAGTCTGTGTAATAGTCACTTGAATACCACTATTCAACGCCTTATGGGTTAGTATACTGTCTGTCATTGCGAGCAATGATAAATATTTATAGCTTAATATTTTTAACTTGTATGTTTTACCATTGTAATTAATTGAGTAATTTTTTTTGACTATAATATACTAGTATACTATTTTAATTTAAATGAATTTCTCGATAGTTAAATATAATTATTTATAATACATAATTTAAAACGTTTTATTTTTAAAGGTTTATGACTTTTTAAAAATATTATTTTTTAATTATAAATAAATTCTCTGTATTTAAAACAAAAGTATATTTAATACTACTTTAAAAGTCATTTCAAATATTATATTATATTATATTACACTTGAAAAAAATATTTAATTACAGTATAATCAATATCTCCATATATACAACAAAAACTACTTGTATATCAAAAATCAATATCCAACTCATAATTATATCATATTAAACACTACTTGTACCTACAAAAAACACATATACCTATACTCACTCTCTAATTACAATTCATTTCCACATCAAAAACAAAGCTTTTTTTTAAAAAAAACTTTTCATTTCAAACGACAGATTCGTTATCAGAGGAGGAAAACCACGGCTTAATGTTTAAGGAGCGCCGGGAGCTGCTGTCCTCCGCGAGCAGCACCGGGCTTATCGAGGACAGTCATGTTATGCCTGGCAAACGGTGGAACGCATGGCCTAGTTGACTTATCACTGACACCCCCACCGTCGACGCCTGTAGCCGGCTCTATGACGCACTCCAGCGAGAGCTACAGGCGCCGGACGACGACTTGGTTGGCCCGGCGGTAGGCGCCGCCGACGAGCTGACCGTCGAGCAGGTGCTGGACGTCCCGCTATGGGCTCAGGACGAGCTCCGGGAGGCCCGGTTCCCGACGCTCCGGGAGTTCGAGGAGTTCACCATTGAGTGCGAGAATACACTGCAACAGGAACTGGTGGCCAACGACTACAACACCTTTAATACGTTTACGAGAATGTATCGAAACTACCGGCGCTCGCATATTGGTAGGGATGAGCAGCCGCTGATCGACTACCTGTCCAAATACCGGTCGCGTATATCGAAGGACAGTATGTCGTGCGTCGGTATGTCGATCGCGTTGGTGAAGAGGTTGAGACAACTGTACCCCCGGTTCGCCCGCTCTGTGGCACTGGTATCCTGTGAGGAGGGCGTGAAAGACATCGGCGACTACTCCATGAAGTCCCCGAACAATGTGAAGGAGCATAACCTGGTGTGCGTGCGGGTGCGTGTGGGCACCGGTAGGCGCGGGTACGTCATACTGGACCCGGGCTATCATATCGCGCGGCCTATTGTGGTGATGGAGGACAGGCAGTACCCGCACACCGGGTGGTTCACCTGCTCGGCCAACCCCCGGGTCACCAAAGAGTACTGCTATGAGATGCTGACGGAGGACAACCAGTTTATTGGATGGCAGGTGCGGGAGACCAGGGATGGCGTGTTGGATGAATGGCTGAGCCTTATATACGTGAGCCGTCCGTTCGCCAAATGCCTGACCATAACGGAGAAGCGATCGTTGATCTACTCGATGAAGTCGCTGATAGTCAGGGGCCGTAAGGGACCGGTAGCTGGAGTTTACTCGTGGATAGGGAGCCAGTCGTTGACTCTGTTTTACGAAAAGGACGGTAAGAGGACTCAGAGGAAGGTTGGCGTCAAAGACATCGCCAGAGATAATGCGGTTATTCACGAGATGTTGGTTAAGATCGCGTGCGTTATGGCCGATAATAGGCCGTCCGATGGGGAACTGGATGTCGATGTGAAAGCACGAGAGTTGATGGATATGTTGGTGGAGTTCCGGACGGCCGTCGAGGACCAGGAGTTTTACGAACAGTTGGTTGAGATCGACAAATGGATTGAAGAGGAGGACGAGGAGTCCGATGATGAGGAGGAGGACGAGGGGAACAGTAGTCNGAGAGTTGATGGATATGTTGGTGGAGTTCCGGACGGCCGTCGAGGACCAGGAGTTTTACGAACAGTTGGTTGAGATCGACAAATGGATTGAAGAGGAGGACGAGGAGTCCGATGATGAGGAGGAGGACGAAGGGAACGGTAGTCGTGGGGGAACTGGTGGTCCGAAGTAAACGATTGGCTCACCGATGGTGTATTTTTATGGGATGTCCCCTAAAAATGTTAACATTTGTTGATGAATAGCCCTTAAGTTCTGTAGCAAATGATTAGATTCAAAAATTTTTGTCCCAAATTCCTGTTCGACTAATAAAAGCATTTGAAAAAAGTTTTTGTTTTAATTTATAATTTATGTTTTATAATACATTAAATATGTTGGGTTTGTGACACCAGATTTTAATGAATGTCTATTAAATCAAAGTAATGATTATTTAAAACATACATAATTGTATCATTAAACCCATTTACTTGCAATGTTTTCGTGTAAGTAAATGTTGGTTTAAAGTAGATTTTATTTTAAAACGTTTATCGCAATCATTGAAATGACAAATAAACGGCTTTTCCGATGAATGCATGCATTGCTTGTGTTGAGTTAAATGCTGTCTTTCTTTGAATTTTTTGCCACAATTTTCTTCATTACATTTGTATAACTTTTCATTCAAATGAACACAACTTTTGTGTTGATTTAGATCTCCTTTTGTTGTAAACTGTTTGTGACATTCACTCCAAACGCATACATATCTCACGTTTAAGTGAATTTTATTTATGTGTTGATTTAGTTGTGATTTCCATTTATATATTGAATTGCAATTAATATAATTACATTTGAATTGTTTTATTGATGAATGAGTCCATTGGTATTGAGTTAATTGCCGCTCATCTTTAGTCTTGTACTGAAATTTAGGCCAAAAACAGTGGAAATAGTGATAAGTGTTGAGTGTATTAATGGTGTTGTGATTGGAAAGCATTTTATCACTTATGTTAATTTCTAGTAGTAATTGTGAAAGTAATACTGTAATATCTTATATATTTTTTGTATTGCCCTATAAATTACAAATAATATTCAACACAAACACAGATATCTGTATCTTAGAGCACCGGTAGTTCATTCAATCACTCAATTCTGATGCACTTTATTCGCGTGATTATCCAAACGTGAGGAATGGGGGGTCTGAAAGTCACAGTCTAACCATTGGCACCGGACCTTACGAGGTGCCCGACCCTTATGGGTAACCCTTATTTGGATACTAAGTCTCAAATTATTAATGTATGACACGTCACACTCGCACCGGTAGGTGATGGCAGCCGTATGAGTATTCCTTTGATCAATCAAAAGTGCTTTTTAAATTAAACCCCGCTCATTAGATATTAATATTAGCATGTTTACAATTATACGAAATAATTACGTTAAATATTGAACAGTCATTGGATTGCTGTTGATTTATAAACCGGGTGAATGCACTAATTTCCTTTTGTAAAACATCCATGCTAAGTGACCAAGTATCATTATTTTCTAATATAGCACTACATTCAAGCCTAATAGAAGGTCCAAATGAAACCATTGAGTGAAATATGTCTAATAAATTTTTAACATTCATTTGAAATGTAGCTTTATTATATTTATCCAGCACACTTTCACTGAAATAAATACAAATACCTTAATGTTAAATAATTAAGACAAATTTCTTAAATACTTACTCTAAGAATATATCAAACAATTCCATTGAAAGGATTCCTAAACAATAAATATCTGATTTTGTGGTATATTTTGATTGATCCAATTCTGGGGCCATATATTTAATTGTTCCCACATTTGTGGTGTGACTCTGGGATGCCTTCTGGTGCTCGACAGCCAAACCAAAGTCACATAACTTAACAAATCTACCATTTCTCACGTTTTCAGCGATTAATATATAAATGGAATTCTGAATGAAGTAAAGAATTTAATAAAAGTTAGCTCAGAATATGTGGTTCAGTATTACAACTCATGGCCCGAAACCGAATACCTCTACATTCAGATGGAGTTCTAAGCTACATTTCAAATGAATGTTAAAAATTTATTAGACATATTTCACTCAATGGTTTCATTTGGACCTTCTATTAGGCTTGAACACTTTCTAAGATTTGCCGAAATATTTCACACGAAATGAAATACTCGACACAATCCATAGGGTCTCCTAATTCTCTCGAAAATACTTTTGCTTTCTTTTCGAGAATATTCCTTAAATTCTGTGAACAGAACTCCATCTGAATGTAGAGGTATTCGGTTTCGGGCCATGAGTTGTAATACTGAACCACATATTCTGAGCTAACTTTTATTAAATTCTTTACTTCATTCAGAATTCCATTTATATATTCATCGCTAAACTCTAAAATAGATTTATAAAAAATAAATATTTTCAAAAACTATTTAAATTTACCTTTAAAAGTGACTTTTTTGACGGCATATATCTGATCATCGATTTTATGCTTCACTTTAAATACAGTTCCAAAACCTCCGGAACCGATGGCCGATAACTCAATGAACAGACTTTTATAATGACTTTCCGATGAATTGTTTCCTAATTCTGTTGAATCTATAAATAATTTGTAAAATATTTTATAAATATAACTAAAAACGCAAATTCTTTTCATTACTACCTTTCTTCAAAACATCTAACCCTTGATTTAATTGTGTTTTTGTTTCATCAGAATTAGTAAAATCCTTTGTATTTATATGCAAAGTATTATAACTAATTTGGTGTTCACTGGCATAGAAGTCAATAAAATTATCATAATCGTACTTGCTCAATTCATTAGGCGCAAAAATACCAACTATTACATTGTCATTAAGCATGGCAACTTGATCATTTGGAAAATACGAATGAAAACTCGTGAATTGTTGTACGTTTAAATTTAATAAAACTTGCACCATGCTCGTTTATGTGCGCGGTTTATTAAATTCGTTCAGATATTTTCCGCAAAAGTAAATTAAATTATCAGTCGATAGGAAACACGTAAAATAATTATTGCCAACATTGGCCGAGCTGATTGACTTTATGTCACGTAATTGTGGGATCAGTTTCGGTGATACAATGCGTTTATTATAGCTAAATGTCCATAATGATGTTTTGTGCCCTGCTAAATTATTATCATTATCACCCCAACTGAATACCATACCATCGATAGTAACGGCAAATGAGGTGAAAGCGCAACAAAATATACTTTTGATTTTATAGTCATTTGTAAATGCTATCAAAACTGGTGAACAAATTTTGTGGTATTTATTATCACCGACACCTACCTGGCCCTCACTATTACCGCCCCACCCGTACACCTGCCCACCGGTGGTGAGGGCCAGGGAGTGCTAATAACCGCAACATATTTGTGTGATATTCTTGTCATTCAAATATGAGATGTTTTCGGGTCTTAAATAAACACCATTTTGTTTCATATCTCGACCCAATTGTCCCTGATCATTGAGTCCCCAACTGAACACATGGTTGTCCTCATTCATAGCCAACACAAAATAGCATCCATTAATAAACTGTTGGATCCGTTGTCCGCATAACTCGGCTATAATTAGCGGTGTTTTGACGCCATTATTGTGACCCAAACCCAGACACCCCATACTATTAGCGCCCATACCATACACGGTGTCATCATTTGTTACAAACAGTATGTTATTTGTATGGCAAAAGTCATTGAAAACGTGAAATAATTTGATTTCATGTTTAATAGACATAGCAATAGTATCGCAAATGCGAAACATATCTAAAAGTGTAGACATTTTCAAACAAATAATTATTTATTAATATTTAATAAATATGTATAATATTAAATTATAGCCTAAAATAATTAAGTAGTTTTAATAATTAATAATAAAACTTCAAATGATGTGTAATTTTCATGCCATTAGATATCATTGTCATGGAAAATAATCTATGTCATTTACGATAAGAGTTTCTATTAATTCTATTTAATAAAGTGTTTTATTATTAATAATAATTTGTTATCTTTATTGTTATTACAACTAATAACAGGAATTTAAAAAAGTACTCATTTAATTAATACCCAATTTTCGCTATAAATAAACTGAAAGTATGTAAAAAAATTTATCGAAATTTTTTATTTTATTACCTTGATCAATTTTATTACATTGTTAATTGTTTTTAAAATAGGCAAAACTAAAATGTGTTACATAATGTGTTATTTACAAGAATTAATTTATTGCTAGTTTAATATTAATATAAGGTACTTGTTTCTCTGACATAATACAGTATTAGTATTGGTTTACTTTTTATAATGTTTTATGTTTACGATTTGAATGTTGTATTAATTCATCTTTAGTGACAAAACATTTAAGACAATTGTTATAATTGCATTCAAAAGGTTTTATTTTCAAATGCCTTTTAAAATGTGTGTCTAAAATATATTTTGTTTTATAACTTTTGTGGCATTCATTGTAATGACACATAAATGGCTTTTCGTCCGAATGAAACAATTTTTTGTGTCGAATGAGACGTGATTTTCGTGGGAAACTTTTGCCACAATTTTTTTCATAACATTTGAATAGCTTTTCATTCAAATGAATACTACTTTTGTGTCGATGTAAATGATGTTTTGATGTAAACAGTTTGCGACATTCACTCCAATCGCATACATATCTCACGTTTAAATGGACGCAATTTTTGTGTACAATTAGTTGCGATTTTAATTTATATATTGAATTACAATTATTATAATTACATTTGAATTGTTTTATTGACGAATGTTTTAATTTATGGCTTTTTAAATGATGTTTATTTTCTGTTTTATACTGACATTTAGGCCAAAAACAGCGGTAATAGCGATAAGTGTTGAGTGTATTAATGGTGTTGTGATTCGAAAGCAT